TTTGAAAATTATCTTTTACACACACCTTTTCCTAATAATAGTAAACACAACAAAAAATGAATTATTTATCTAATTTTGTGCAGTCGTTCTGAAGTTATGTATGTATAAAGATTTTGGCGATACATTTTTTTTATATAGGTATGCAAATAAAAAGTTATACAGATTGTCTGCATCTATTTGAACTCCTCGTATTTTATTACTTCGATTTCTTTAATATATAATAGTAACCTATAAGATTGAGTATTTTATAGTTTTTTTTTGTAGATTTGAACTTATTGAATTCCATTGCATATATCCAGAGGCCATATCTATTCGCTGCAAGTCAAAAATTCGCACTGACTTCAAATAATTTTTAGTGCGCCATAAATCCTTCTGTCTGCAACGTAATAATATCTGGAACGTACTGACCAAATAAAATTTCCACTAAAAGCGATGTTTACAAAAAAAAATTGGGAAAGCGAATCCGTCGCGCAAGTTTTATTTTCTTTTGCCAGAAGTAAACCAGAAATCTAAAAATATTTCAAGTCGTAGGAAAAGGCGTAACCCAAGTCCGAATGATTTATCATTTACAAATGGGTGGCTGGAGACTAACTTATTTTCAAACAGTTGTCGTCGCAATTCAAGATGGTCTCGATTCAAACAAAAAAACTTGAGAATTCCTTTATTTCCTTTCCCAATAAGTTAATCAACCGGTGGTAAAAAATATTTCCGACTTTTTTATGTGATAAATTGAACAGGAAGATATTTTATTTATACTTTTGTCCTTCTTGTCGCAACTTGACCATAAAAATGATTGATATATCTTTCATTACTCTTCTGCTGCAGTACCACATGTTTAAAATTGATAACACGTTCATATATCAGACATTATCTAATGCAGTATGCAAAAAAACTAAATTTTTTCTACATATTCTACAATAACAGATACACTTATGTTTGTTTGATAAATTCCTAGCAAAAGGAAGTAAATATATATAGGAAGTTTTCAGGTATACTTCATTTTACGAATATACGACTGTTTTAAATTCGTTTTAAGGTATCGATTTAAATATGCTGAATTGTACAATAGCAAATTCTCTCCATTTTTAAAATACTGTTATGACAGATATATACCTTGGATTTAAATATAAAGTCATGATATAAATATAGAGTTTATAGTTTATAGAGCAGCTGTAATTCAGATTTTAAAGTATATCCCTTAAGTACCATGGCGGGGTCAAAATTGACCCCCCGAGTTTTTAATGCCAAGTTTCGCTACCGGAACATAGATTGAGCATTGCGCGCTTTCTGTTAATCTTCGACCGGTAGGTGATTTATCGATCTACGAAAATTCCGTTAGTATATCTGTTACTACTGCAGAGTTGGGCACGCATAGGGTCAATTTTGACCCGCTTATGGTATAAGTGTTTCTAGTGCAATCAACGAGTAATTTGAAATGGCGGCGTGTAGTCGCAATAAACGTCTTCTGACACAGAAAGAGCTTGAAGAGGAGGGACAAAAAATTGTGGACAATGGACTAGATAGTGACAGTGAGATTTTAGATCAGGCTAGTGAATACAGTGATCACGAAACAGACAGTGAAGAGGAATGGGTCAAGGGATGTGTTTTATGGCAAAAATAGGTACAAGTGGTCTAAAACTTCTCCCACCTTTTCTCGTACACGTAAGCATAATTAGTCATTTACTTGGTGTTATTGGAAAAGCTCGAGCTAGTATGCCAGAGAAACCAGTTGATGCTTGGGAATGTATTATTAGCCACGATATATTGCAACAAATTCTTGAGAAAACCAATGAACGAATAACTAATATGGCTTCTAAATATAATTTACACAATTTATCGTGTCAATATACCAATCATCTTGACATACTTGAAATATTTAGCTGGGGTATTTAAATCCAATAATGAAGATTTGAGGTCTTTATTTGCTACGAATGGTACTGGCCGTGATATATTTCGAGCAACCATGTCACTAAACCGATTTTATTTTTTGCTTGGAAGCATTTGTTTTGACGACCCAGCTACTAGACAAGAACGTATTGCGCATGGAGATAAACTGGCAGCTATATCCAATATTTCTAATATGTTTATAATTAATTGCCAGTACAATTATAGCTGTGGTGAATATCTCACAATAGATATTGTGATTTAGAGGAAGGTGCCAATTCAGGATGTATCTCAAAAATAAGCCAGACAAGTACGGTCTGAAAATGCAGTGTTTAGTAGACTCTAAGACATATTATTTGCTAAATGGTTTTATATATACTGGAAAAGATACACGCAGAGAAAATCCAAAAAAGTTATCCACCTAGATGTTTTGAAACTTATTCCACCAATTTCTGGTACAAATAGAAACATAACAGCAAATAATTGGTTTTCGTTCATTGAGCTCATAAAAGAACTGAGAAGCCATACAATTTCATATGTTGGAACTCTAAAAAGAAATAAAAGAGAGGTTCCTGCTGAATTTCAACCCCAAAAAAACAGGCCACCTAATTCTGCCTTATTTGGTTTTACAGGAAGCGAGAGCCTTGTATTTTTTGTTCCTAAGAAAAATCGTGCAGTGTTGTTAGTTTTAACTATGCATCATTCTAATACAATGGTTAATGGAAAGCCAGAGATTATAAATTCTTACAACGAGACAAAAGGTGGGGTGGGTTCATTAGATAAGAAATGTGCATGCTATAAAACTGGCAGAAGAACTCGTAGATGGCCTCAAGTAATATGGTTTCGCATTTTGGACATTGCAGGATTAAATGCTAACGTAATTTTTAATATAGTTCAGCAAAATCAAATAATGGAAAGAAGATTGTTTCTAACCACTTTAGGTCAAGAACTTCTTAAGGCCCATTTAACTCGTAGAGCTCAGCAAACTTTACTGAGAGAAATTCGTAGTGCCATTTTTAAAGTTTCCGGACTTCAGGAACCAATGCCTGGCGCAAATCCAGAGCGATAACGACGAAAAAGGAGGGAAGGTGTAAAATATGTCGATATTCCAAAAACCAAAAGAAAGTTCATCGTGCGATAAATGTCGAGATTTTATTTGCAAAGATCATTCCCGCATACAGACGTTATGCATAAGCTGTGTTGAAAATTAAAGTAAAATCATGCTTGTCATTTTTGAGATACGAAATCTAAATCGATTTTTTGTATTTTAGGTAGGAGCTATGATACCTAGATTTCATCATTGTATATCAAAAAACTGCACATTGTTATTATTTTTATTATAATTTGAGAAAGTGCGTAGCTATGTTAATTTGATTGAATACAAAAGTTTTTTTTTAATAAAGTTATATCTAATTAACCAAATTCGTTTATTTTTATATAAATGTAAAAGTAGCTGTAAACAAAATAATTTAAAATAAAACAAGTTAAAAAAGAATATTTTTTGATACAAAATACAATGGGGGGTCAAATTGGACCCTGTCATGGTACAAATGTTACTATTTTTGGCTATGGTAGTTAAGGGATATAATTACTATCATTGAGTTTAGTATTGTAAACAAGTTGGTTTTTGAATTAAGTGATTTAAACGAACTGTATCTATACTTTAAAATAGTGTAATTTATTTAGTCGAATATTCAATTAGTATTAAAAAAACAAGAAAACTTACTTATTCTCTTATTCTCCTAATTTTCTTTCTTTTCGCGCATTTTATATATTGTCCCACGGATTTCAAATTTGCAACCTTCGGGAAGATCTATAGTCTTTGGTTGCCGGCGAGATTTATATTGTGCGACATTTTGATCACTTTGTCCACGTTTTTTTGCTTTTTTCAAAACCGACTTTAATTTTGTTTCACTAATACAGAGTGCATCACACACACGGACTGAACTGGTCACAAAGGGCCCCCGTTGGTATTCTCAGCAGTAAAATAAGAAAGTAGGTACATTAAATCTAAAGTTGTCTACATCTAAAACACGTCTCGGCATTTTTGGCTTCAATAAACAAATACACTACACTAAACTCTGTCTTAACGGACACCTCTCTTCACCGGACACCGCTATACGGACTGTTTTTAAAACTAAAATCAGTGGGCGATATATGAAACTGTATGTAAATTTTCGTTACTTTTTAATATCTGTACAGACTCGGTACTGTAACTATCAATAGCCGGTATGTTATACTCGTTACTTTCGGAACTTTTAAGAGTACATCCACTCAAAGCAAACAAATATTTAAAACCAACAAAGTAAAATATTAGATTCTTCTCTGGTTTCTGAACCATCGTTCTGCCAATTTCTTTTCATTTATATTAAAAATAGTATATTTCTTATTGCAGTTGTAGTACCTAATAAAGTAATAAAATAGTGTAATATCAACTCGACCATTTGGCTTTAAAGACGCCATTGTATTTATTTGTAGGAGCGTTTGCGTAAAAATTTTTGTTATTTTTGGATTAAATTTCGCGTCTATCTGAACACCTATTAACTGAAATAATTTTAGTTTAGATGTGATACTACCAGTAGATCCTTTTTATTGGAATAAAGATTAGACTAATTTATTTTTATACTTCTGCTTGCACAGTAAAATATTCGTTATAGCAATAATCCAAAACAGTCATGTATTCGTGGAATAACCTATACATTTTATCTTTCAACATAATCTTCCTTAACCTAAATATACTTTTGTATACATGATATCCATATTTTTGAGCCATCCAAAAGGCATTCATAAAGTCGACAAAATATGCGTCTGTTAATTTTTGTGTAAATGTTTCACGTGTATCCAAAAATAACGTACATATCGCTGTCTTCAGAGGACATTCGTCTTCAAAACACACTCTTTTAATTGTTGTTTGGTTTCGGGAGTATAGTAGTGTATCCATGTTTCATCCAAAGTTATGTATTGACGCAGGAAAGCATCAGGATTTCCCGAAACACGCAAAAAACAGTCTCAGAGTCGACTATACGATTGCGTGTATTCACTTCTGAGAAGAAACTTGTTTTAAGAAATCAAATTTATAAAAAATCTGTTTCTGTGATCTCAAGTTTTTCACTGACCATAATTTATCTGTCACTCTAAGTCTAAACCATATTGTGAAACTTACCTCAATCATTTCTTAGTTAGTTAGTTCTCATACTAGTTACTTTCTACTAGTTAGTTCTACCTGATATTCAGAACTATAATCACCCTATGTAGATGTATGGCCATGTTTAACTCATTTACCAATTATAAACAGTTGCAAGCTTCAGAAAACTCCATGTATCATGAACTTCATACAACTTTTTTTAATCTCGCTAGGACTTTTAAATAAAAATATTTTATCACTACTCGAAACTCACTGTTTCTCATTTTTTTTCTCAAGTGACAGTAAAATTAAGCCTATATGATGAATAAACTAAATCTTCGATAATAATTCTGCCGAGAAATAATAATCAAAATTAAATCAGTTTTTAGCAAAAAAAAAAAGAAAACAAAACTCTCTAGGTCTCCTCGGAGCGGTGTAGCCACTACCCTGAATCGAAACAAAATCTATTCCCGTCGTAGACAATCGTTATCAAAATAACTATATACGGACGTAACTACGCCATCTAATAACAAGAAGAGAAATCATACGATTTCTACCTGGCGAAATCGAATTCAAATTTTGACCACTGTGCTTTCTAAAACTTGTAAAGCAAACAGCTTGCATGACACATGAGTTTTAACCTTGTTTAGGCCTGAGCCTCTTCAAGGAATGGGTAACTCCTTTTTTTTAACGGAGTTGTGGGGGCGTGATAAACGTCAATTAAATGATGCACGAGCCAAGAAGTAGTGGACTACTAAGAAACAGGGGGAAAGAAGGTGACTTATGTGTGTGATCGATAATAATCGATAAGAACGCACAAGAAAAAGTGGGATCTACCTAGCATGCCAGTTGAGGTAATATAAGTGCATTTTTTTTATTATTAATATATTAAATTATTTTTAATTCCTTTTACCCCCGTGCGATACGCCGATGATTAGGAATCCCCGTGTTTACGATAGGAAAATATTTTTGTAGACACCAAGCTGAAATGGAATTCCCTAATTAAGAAAGGTTTTTAATCCTTCCCTCTTAATACTCTGTATGAAAAGAACAAATGCTTTCCGGTATGGTAAGGCCCGTATCTTTTGACAATAATATAATCCTAAGGATTTTAATATTCTCAGGTCCAATTGTTAATACCGATTATTTTACCTCAAACTTTCCAATAGTCGTTAAGGCCTTACCTTCTGAGAAACACATACGACTGTCCGATGATTTTAAGTGGGAGATATAGCTTCTTCTTCTTTTTGCTTGGATAGTTGGTGAAATTTTTAGGGAACCAATTTACTTGTTGGTGGGCAGTTGTTGAGTGAGGTAATATCTCGTGAGACTTTTTGGTGGGCCGTTGTTGAGTTAAGGCCAATATCTCGTGTTACGCTTTGCTCACTTTATTTCTTATCGTATCGTCTTTGTGAATTATTTTCTAAGTGTGTATACACTTTATATTTGAGTTTTCTTTCCTTAGACTATATTAAATTATATATAGTTCTACACTACCTTTAATGGTTATTAAATTCAGTGTTTAGTACCAGAAAAGTATTAAAGTGAATTAAGCTGCCTTCGTCAAGATCTACTGTAAGTAATCTTTATCTACAATTATCTGGGCGAGTAATATGGTAAGGTACCATATCACCTGCCAATATCTGGACGTATCATCTATATCTTCACCTGTAGATTACCGATTTTTGAATGTAATTGAACCATTCAAGAAATTTCTATAAATATTACCTATGAACATACAAGTCTCAGTTTTTTATTAAATAATAGTGCGAGATAGTTAATTGACTTAACCAAGTGCGGTTTGGTTTATGTTTTCATTCCTGTAACCTTTTTGTTTTTTTTTGTAAATTTAGAGTTAAGTAATTTTTGCTATCTTTTGTATTTCCTATAATTTTTGTTCATTATCTTTCCTATGATATCTCGAGATACGCCAAACTATATTTGTATATGATTGCCTTATATATCTTGGTAAAGGTATTTTTTTATTACATTATTGCTTAATTTTATACATATATAACACCATTTCATAGTTGTGTATTTTTATTACCTGTGTTGCATTTAGCAGCATCATAATTTTGTGTTAAATATATTGTTATTGTTTTATGCATGTATTTTATTTGTCGGCTCCTAACAAGTTCCCTGATAAAATAATAGCTCTGAACAATATTACTATCTTTAAATATTACTATGCTTTTGAACTGTAGAAAGATCAGGCTGATTAAGTTTCGTAGGTAAGTAAGTGTAATACTTAATATATTTATTATTTGTTTATATATTGCGTTGACCACATTTATTTGATAATTTACTGTTGGTATCTTTCCTTGGGTTTGATCTCTGAACCTAAATATCTTTTCTTATCTCTTTTCTTTTCTAAGGTTTTCTTAATTTTCTCCTTAACCCCAAAAAATTGAGTGGCGCCCTGTTTCTATCTTCTGTTATCTTTGGTAATTTTACCCATCTATCTTTTTGTTTATTTCTGTATCTTTTCTAATATCTCTTATCTTATATTTACCTATTTCTTCCGTTGGATCCATTCCCGGTTCCAAAAGCTAGTTTCGAACCCACGACTCGCTCTCCACCAACCATCTGGCTGCCATCCGCAGTGTCTCCATTGGTTATCTTTCTAGCACCACCCAAAAAAGATTTCCGAGGTGACAGTGCCATTATAAAATCTTATTATTGGAAACAAAATGACGGTATTATATTTTGATTTGATACAGAGCAGCAACAAGCCGCATCTACGTATTTCGATCTCTTTGGATCTCCTCAGTACGGTATAGTTACTACTCCATATCAAACCAAAATATTTTCCCGTCGTAGATTATAGTTATTAAAAATAACTATTTACGGACGTAACTACGCCATCTAAGAACAAAAAGAGAAATCATACGATTTCTACCTGGCGAAATCGAATTCGAATATAAGCCGCCGTGCCCCCTAAGACTTGCGAAGCAAACAGCTTGATGAATGCATCGGCAAGGGAGTCTAAAAATTGTACTCCAAATGCCGTTCATCATGGCCTATATTCGTAGTGAATTCGATTTCTGGTACTCCAAATGAAGTAAATAAACAAAACAAAATGACGGTATTATATTTTAATTTGATACAGAGCAGCAACAAGCCGCATCTACGTATTTCGATCTCTTTAGATCTCCTCAGTACGGTATAGTTACTACTCCATATCAAACCAAAATATTTCCCCGTCGTAGATTATAGTTATTAAAAATAACTATTTACGGACGTAACTACGTCTACGTAACTATGATGAACGGCATTTGGAGTGCAATTTTTAGACTCCCTTGCCGATGCATTCATCAAGCTGTTTGCTTCGCAAGTCTTAGGGGGCACGGCGGCTTATATTCGAATTCGATTTCGCCAGGTAGAAATCGTATGATTTCTCTTTTTGTTCTTAGATGGCGTAGTTACGTCCGTAAATAGTTATTTTTAATAACTATAATCTACGACGGGAAAATATTTTGGTTTGATATGGAGTAGTAACTATACCGTACTGAGGAGTTCTAAAGAGATCGAAATACGTAGATGCGGCTTGTTGCTGCTCTGTATCAAATCAAAATATAATACCGTCATTTTGTTTTGTTTATTTACTTCATTTGGAGTACCAGAAATCGAAATCACTAAGAAAAAAGGCCATGATGAACGGCATTTGGAGTGCAATTTTTAGACTCCCTTGCCGATGCATTCATTAAGCTGTTTGCTTCGCAAGTCTTAGGGGGCACGGCGGCTTATATTCGAATTCGATTTCGCCAGGTAGAAATCGTATGATTTCTCTTTTTGTTCTTTTTATCGGGTTATTAGGAGCATTTATGTTATAATTAACTCGAACGATAGTATACAAAGAAATATATACTCTTTTGCAAAGAAATATTTGTGGCAAAAAAATACTAGCTTTTTTTTGTATCAGTTCTTACTAATTAGAAAAAGTATACAAAAGAATTTTCTTGATAACGCTGACCAAACTACTGAGCTTTCAGAAGCTGTTTTATGTTTTCGTGGAAGCACCGCCACAATTTCCAAACTAATTATGTATTCAATTAAAAAACTTGTCGAGTGTATTTTAGAGAATTTTTAAATTACACCATTAATTGAAGAACTTCTACTTCAACGGAATATATTACAGTAACTACTGAAATTATCAAAGAAGCGCCGAAATTGTATAAGCAGTGTGAATTACGAAAGCACTAATCGAATTAGGAGTTTAATTTTTATTGCTTTTTTGAATTAAAAGATGTGCCCGCTGTTGATAGTTTACTAGAACCGTTATTGGATGCAGTGAGAAATGACGAAAGTGACAGACATTTATTAGGATACTAGTGATTTTACCCGTCACCATGCGATCAATTGCATCTACAATCACTCCACTTAATTTTTTCTGTCTTTCTCCTATGTAAGGCTAGGACGACAGAATAATATTTTAATCTGTTGTACAACTTGCATAACAAATAAGTCACTTTTGGAGAGTCGATGAACTTTTTACGTCGAAATCCGCCTACGTATTAAACTAGTGTAATTCTAGTTTGGCAATTAATTTTTTGGGAAGGCTCGAGTTTTGTATTATATTTTTTACCGATCACCGATCAGAGTTACATAAATTCAAGGACAACCATCCCAGAAGAACCGCCAAGTTTTCCAAAATTAGGAGCATAGATATTCAAACAGCGATTAAATTTAAACCGTTATGGATAGATAACCTCCCCTTAGACAAACTCTCTAAGGAAGAGGAACATCTAGAGACAATTAACCCGAAATTATGGAACCATAGCCATAACCACTTTTGGATGACTCCTTTATATATCTTTATTACATTAATCTGCCTCTATATATGTTACATGTACAAACAAATAACAAAAAAGCCAACTCTAGCGACGAAACTCCAGAAGAGGCTAACTTAACAGTTCTGTTCGTCCCTCACAAAACTTCTTCAGGGGGTGGAGTAGTTACAGTACAATGACCGCTACCATCCAGTAAATTTTACCACGTGGATTGAACACTGGGCTACCGCTTGAACATTCTGGACTAAATTGGACTGT